TTTTTTTTTTTTTTTTTTTTTTTTTTTTTTTTTTTTTTTTTTTTTTTTTTTTTTTTTTTTTTTTTTTTTTTTTTTTTTTTTTTTTTTTTTTTTTTTTTTTTTTTTTTTTTTTTTTTTTTTTTTTTTTTTTTTTTTTTTTTTTTTTTTTTTTTTTTTTTTTTTTTTTTTTTTTTTCCCCTTTTCTTTTTTTTCTTTTTTTTTTTTTGGTTTTTAGGTTTATATTTTATTGGGTTTTTTTTTTTTTTTTCTTATTTAAAAAAAAAATTCCTTCCCTCAAAAAATTAATTTTTTTTTTTTTTTTTTTTTTTTTTTTTTTTTTTTTTTTTTTTTTTTTTTTTTTTTTTTTTTTTTTTTTTTTTTTTTTTTTTTTTTTTTTATTTTTTTTTTTTTTTTTTTTTTTTTTTTTTTTTTTTTTTTTTTTTTTTTTTTTTTTTTTTTTTTTTTTTTTTTTTTTTTTTTTTTTTTTTTTTTTTTTTTTTTTTTTTTTTTTTTTTTTTTTTTTTTTTTTTTTTTTTTTTTTATTTTTTTTTTTTTTTTTTTTTTTTTTTTTTTTTTTTTTTTTTTTTCTTTTTTTTTTTTTTTTTTTTTTTTTTTTTTTTTTTTTTTTTTTTTTTTTTTTTTTTTTTATATTTTTTAATTTTTTTTAAAAAATTTTTTAAAAAAAAAAAAAAAAAAAAACAAAGAATCGGATTCAATGTATCGCATTGTAAACAATCGATATATATCGAATATCCCTAATAGTTCGAGGTCCGGGTTATAAAAGATCAGACATAATTTCGGGAGGTGGCAGATGAAAAATCGACTATGATTGATTTTAAATTATAAAAATAATCGATTATTTTAAATATAAATTTTTTTTTTTTTTTTTTTTTCCCTTTTTCTTTTTTTTTTTTTTTTTTTTTTTTTTTTTCCCCTCTCCCCCCCCCCCCCCTTTTTCCCCCCCCCCTTTTTTTTTTTGATTTTAAATTTTCCTCTCATCAATTTTTTATAATCGCGCCAAAAAAAAAATAATCGATTATTTTAAATATAAAAATCGCGAAAAAAAACGATTTTTTTAATAATCGATTATTTTTTCACATCCCTACTTTGTGAGAACATATTTTGTAGAAAATCGCTTTGCCTATCATTATGTCCATGTATTTTTTAACAGAAATCCAAATTAAAAAATAAGTAAAATGGTAAAAAAAGATTATTTGACTCAAGCCCGAAGGAAACAGCATGGCACTCCCACTATAATGGTTGTCATTAATACTATCTAGCAGAAACTGTACAATTTAATCGTTATTTTTATAAATTTCAGTAGAAAATTATTGAAACTATTAAAGTACAATTATAAGATATAATCTAGTACAAATAACTTAAACTTTTCTAAATCACCATATAAAGCCATATTAGTGTTTTTTTATGGGGCAAATCATAATGATGTACATCGTACGAAACAGACCAAAACAAGCAAGCACTGCATACACGGACAAGCAGGAAAAGAAGTAATCAACAGGAAAAGATACCAAAATAGAAGAGCCAAGAGTTGACGTCAGATAGTATCTACAGTAAAGCGGGAGGTAACTGAGACTAACGAGAATATTCTATTAACACCGATGAAAGCCAACAAAACAAGCGCGAGAGTGACGACATCTGAAACAAAGATGGAACACCCTGCGAAACGTATAGTTCAGAAAAAAATCTAATTATATGAAGCCGCGATTATCACATAAAGCATAATAAGTAAAATCTTAGAGCAGAAATAAAACTGCCGGTCCGGTATCGGTATGCCATTTAAAGACTTTACTAACTAGTCTGGGAAGCGGTAGATCAAAGAAAGAAATGAAAAAGTTAGAGCAAATAGAAAATAGACTGAGAAAAAAATAATTTAGAAAGGGATACTTATAACCTACCCAAGTGTGCTCGCACCACCCACAAAACGAACCCGAAAAGAAAAGATAGGTACATACCGGACTAAAAAAGAGACAGAGAATGCAGAGATTATGGGACGAATTAAAGCCACTGTAGACATGAAGAATACTGGTCTGAGAATCGATAAACTAAGAAAGGCGAAAGACCACAAAACACGAAACAACTTCTGAACGAGGTAACAGAACTAATAAAAATGGACAGCACTCTATCAGTAAAACGAACTAAAGACAAGGATCAGCTAAAACTTACGAGGAGTTCTACAGGTGCACACAACTGAGAAGATAATGCACATGCTTTGCGGCCACCTTCTCCATACAATAGGTGATTCGGAAAAGAGAATTGAAATAAAATTTAGAAGAAAAGCTCGGAATCCACTTTTATATAATATTGCGCTCCAGGTTTCACCACAAGTTTGGTAGATTATTACGGAGGCGGGGAAATTTTATATTGAGTTGCAAAGGGAAAGGATATAAGTTATTTGCTGGGAGCAAAAATTGTTTGATAACACATACGGAAGCATTAAAAATTTTCACTAGTATTGCCATTGCGAAAATCTGTACTTCCTTTAGGGAATGTGACCTAAGTAAAGTGGTCCTTAACCATAAACGACACCATCTCGCGGACTTCCTGTGGCCCAGCGCACCGCGCGACAGCTAGTTCTATATAAAATTCGTAATAAGACTTGTCTGGATACAAGTGGTTTTTATTTAACTGAATAAGTATCATATTCGTGAGAAGTTTTAGGTTTAAAAATAGACAAAAGTAGCAAGACAATCATTGGTTTATTTATCACCCAAACTATTAAACTAATGTTACAGCGGTATAGTACATTATTTACATTCATATTCACATTTAAAAACGCAAAGTACGCAACATTTAAGAATTAAGATTTTCCATTAACCTCACCACAAAAGATATCCCACCAGATTCTCCAAAATACTCGCAGATTGTAGTACAGATACTACAATCGACGCTTTGTAAAATCACTATGTATGAACCAGAAACAAAATGACCTATACTTTTGAAAGCTTTAATAAAATATTGTTATGTTTATCAATAACTATACCTATTATTTATGGTACAGAGAATGCTACCATACAGACATATTCATGGTCAATTTGCGTTAAGACTCTTAGGACTTGATTGCTCATAATCGGCAAATTTTATCACTAAGATAATTTGTACATATATCTATAACTAATTCGCCATTTCTAAGTCTAAGATAAATTGCTATATAAAACAACAAATATAACTAATATTTATATCACCAGGTGTAGTTTTTGATTTTTAGCAAAACCAACCCGGCGTCTAAAAGAAAATATATATCTCATAAGTTTTATAGATGTAAAAATATAGTTTAATATTGCAACACATTTTATAGTCCCATCTATTTACCCTTAGCCATCAAACACTTAATGAAACTGAAATATTTTCCTTATATAGGGTTCATATAGTAGAAGTTCTACAAAGTCTATGGTAAAATGGCTTACTTTGTGAGTGGTAACCATACGGCGACAATTAAAAACAAAATACGAAATAATGGCGCGTTTATGGTGATGGATTTTAAACGACAAGTTGAAAATTTGTCAGTGGAATACTACAATCATAATCAAGCGATAATACGTTTTCGAAAGTATTTCGACAACAAATGAATGTTACCATGATCGTCGAACATCAAATTACCTCAAATGTTGTGCATTGTATACACTTTAACACAATTCGCGATAATTCAATGTAATGACAACTAAAACGGTATAAAAGTTTTGGTATAGCTCAACAAGTGACATAAATGCAAAGAGGAATGTCATTTACTTTGAGCAATTTTTTAGTGTCTTCACAGTTCACACATGGCTTTGTATGGTTAAATACGTAATTTTGGCCTACAATTTTTGACATCCATTCTTAGCTTTGATAGGAATCATTGACACACTAACACTCTTATCTATAAACCCCTACCTCAATGTTTTGAAACTTTATATGTGACAAAAAAAAATATATTTGAAGATTATGATATGTAGAGAGTCAAGAGTATTTTTTAACCCTACGCAGACAACATATATAGATAATCAGTTAGACCATAAAATTAAAACTTTAATAACATGAATATAAAAATTAACTAAATTTGTTAACACACACAAAAAGTTTGTTTAGTAACTTTGGAGATGGCTTCACGATCTGGAATAGAGAAAAAAATATTACTTAAAATGCATTTTTAAACTTATGAAAGGCATCCAACATGCTCATGTATTATAAACTGCTCTACCACTGGACCAAGGGCGGGTTTAATTTCTCGAGACAATAATTATTTCGGTGTCGGAGATAGGTTTATTGACTTTCTTATGAAAATCCAATGAAACAAAATTCACTTATTTCTAACAAATTCTCAAATTATTACTAACAAAGTAAAATTCAGTCTATTGTGCCGTTATATAACTTGATTTTATATGTATTTAATTTTCTACGATATTTTTGAAGTGAAAACTTCTTTAGTGGCGTTGTACACTTTTTTTGGAATGGGTAAAAAATGTTAAACTCGCGTCAGGGCAAATTCGTAAGACGGATGTTTTTTTAAAGGATGGGGTGCTATATAATTACGGTTTTAATTCATTTGTCTCTTTCCTCAGATACATTGATGCATATTGGACCTTAAGTCAATAGATCAAGGTTTAATTTTGCGAAACGTCTAAAGCTTTATTATTAACGATTTGGTCAGACGTTAATAAAAAATAGTGAATTTTCCTAATTGAATTATTTCATACTAATTTTAATTATTTTGTGTAGGTTTTGAAAGACGGATGGAAAGTAGACAGCTGGCGCGGCGTATTTAATGATGAATACCATTATGGTCATTTCAAAAAGCATTTCGATCTGGTAAATTTTTGAAACTTTTAATACAATTCTAATTGTAAGGGCTTTGTTCAACTAAAAATGACATGGTTCATTAGTAGCCTTTTGGCCAATGTCTAACACGATTATCGCTGTCATTATTAATATAGGCGAAGCAGTCTTTATTACGGCAACAATCTATGATTTGATTAACTCTTAGATTCTGTTTGTTTCTTAAGGGAATTTTAAAAGAAGTTATCTTACATGATCTCAAGACTGCTATCACTATTTTTAGTAGCCTGTTCACCCTCGCTTGAGTTAGAGCCGCCGGACTCAGATCTTTGGCTTCGAGTCCTGTGCGGCTTCTTCACTTCTGGCTCAACGGTTGATGCCTCTTCCGATTGGCGCTGCCACGCCGGGATGGATGGCGGTTCAGTTCTCTTCAGTGAAGGGAATTGGTTCCTGGAAATATTTTATTTTATTTATTGAGAAAGATTTACAGCTTATCTTACTAACTAAATACAATGTTCTTTTACGCCATTAAATAAATCTTTACAAATCTAAATATTAATAGATTGATTTAAATTCGGATAACGTTCAAGGTTCAGTTTAATAAAAAAAAACAAATTCTTTCCAATTCCAATAGGCATTATTGTTGTGGAACTCCAAATAGTTATTTTAATTATAAGTTAATGTAAGCTGCCGAAGAAAATTTGGTGTAGGTGGAAATTAAATCTACCAACTTATTACACAAACAGGAGTTGTGACAGTATTTGGCTTCAACGTCTTATAGAATAAAAAATAACATTGATTTCGGTATAGAGGAATATGTGATTGTGATTGACCTTCTGTACCTGACACAATATGACGTTTTTATTCGTCCATTTACATCTTAGACAAGATACTTTCCTCACGATGTTTTTATCACCATATGACCACACGGATACAGATGATGCATAGCTGGGTTCCGAACGTCGGGATTGACAGTCGCAGGCCTAGCCACTGAGCTAATACTGGTCTAGTACAATGAAGTGGAATTAAAATCCAAAATGAATGACATTATTATAATCTCGGAAAAAACACGCATCATAATTTTCACTTTCCATTGGCATAAAAGTGTAGCTTAAAATAATGAGGTCAGTCAGACTCAGTCAGTGCCATATGTTGAAAAATTATGAATGAATTAATCTCAAGATGATTAGCTACGACTGTAATTTAGATCCTTACCTGCTCAACAAGATGCCCTTGACTGACGCAATATCATCTTTTAAATTATCGAGCTGTGACCGCATTGCATTCTGTTGTACGGTCGCCTGCATCTCACCCCGAAGTGAGGTGATACTCGCATTCATTATATCTAAAGATTTGCGTAATTCATCTATACATTCCGACGTGGACTTACGCTTTGGTTGTTCTATGAATAGTAATTGTTTAATGCAGTTCTGAAACCAAATATCTTCTATACTTGTATATTCTTAGCTATACTTACTATACCGCATGGTATAAGCATTAAAGATATCGACTAGAATTGAACAGTGAACTTTTTTCACTTATTAAGTAGATAACAAAATTAAATGTTTAGATATTCAGCAGGTCGAATATAAATCATATTTAAAATATTTCACGTGGGACGAAAAAGGTGACCTTCACACTTGTGATTTCTCACTATCAAAAGTTATCAGTCCATAGGCGAAAATGCAGATTCAATAGTTTAAAAATTGATAAGATAAAATTAAAAACGAAGTCATAAAAATAAGTAATAACATTTTTGGAAAACTTATAGGTTCTTTTGTGTATCTTCCTAAAAGAGTTGTATTAATCTGTTTATTAATTTTTATAAATATTCGAAATAACGTCTAAGATTGTACCACACACACAAAGCCATTTTATAAATTGTTAATTTTTTAATTAATACAGATATCTGACTCAAGCAGTTATCATTTGCGTCGGTCGTAGGTACTTAGCACAGTTAAAATTAAGGTTACGAATATAAGTTTTATGTGAGATCTCCAAACTATTATCGTGGCGATAACTTAAAGTAATATCTGCTGGCACAAATGACTTGATAGCATTAACTTGCATAGTCTTAAATACTTAATGGACTTCTGTTTACGATTTCATATTAACATATTTTACAGAATTGTGTCATTTATAAAATTTTACTAAGAAATATAAAAGAATTTTTTTCCAATAAAATCAATATTTTTGCGATTTACAATATATATTTTATATTTATTTTTTAATACTCAGTTATATATTATGCAACTAATTTAGTTTCATTCATTTAGTTTCTCCTTTTTTATGATACCTCTATTACTGATTAATGTATTTTATTTGACGCTATCAAGTCATATAACAGACCTTACATTTAAATTTCATTAATGGAAGTACCAACCAATATTAAAAAAAACGCTAGAAATAAAAACAAAATTCTCGTTGCGTCATATGAAAAATATTCTTAATTTTATTCAAATTAAACTTTCTATTAACTTTATACAATTACATATCATTATAAGAAGCATATAATAATTGTATAATTTATGTAATCATAGTTTAAATACATTATCCAATTATAATATATTTCACAAAATTTACAAATTTTACATTCCTGTATCTTATCTATATGTGATGTTGTATTCAATAAATATATTTTTTAACCAACAGGAAAAGTATATTGGCAATTAGTTTACTAGATTTAAGGTACAAAATTAGATTGGATTAAGAAAAAAGTGGCAGTGTTGTGTGTATTTGTAAAAATTTAATTCAGACAAAACTGATACACTAAAAATAACTGCCATTATTTCAAATGTAACATATGAGAAAAAATCTTTTAAGTGTTCGTATAGTGTGTAGCAAAGTTAAATGGGTTTTTCACAAAATGCTAACAGAAAGCTGCAGTTTGGCTATGCTGTTAAATCAATAAGTTACATCAATATTCATATGTGCAGTTATCAGTAATATGTATTCTTGAATAACATTTCATATCATGGTAATTATAGGTTTAAAATTAATAAACAAATAAATCTGTTATATCATCACCTACTGTTAATGAACCAAAATGCAATGATAGTTACTTCTATATAGCATTATCAAGACTTTTTAGATAAGGATATTATAAATAAATTTAAATTTCATGTATTCAGATTAAGTAAATTAACTATGTTATTAGTACTGTTGTATATTATGTCTTGTCTTTTAAAATTATTACCTATATAGTTATAATTACTAGATAGTTCTAAAAGTTACATTTAATGAGTTAGATTCTTACCTTGTAAAACCAGTAGCACCCATAAGCAAATCCTCCATAAATAATTAATGGTAATATTTTTTCTTTAAACCAAGAATGTTGTGAATTTTGAAAAAAACGCAGCTCTGATGTAAAATTTGACATGTCTACTAAATCACTACAATTCTCTATAGCTCTCTTTATTTCCAAATCAGTTAGGCCCTTAGCTCGAAGAAAACGTTCTTTGCTTTCCATTGTGCATCGTTGTACATTTGGATTTGAGAGGAACTTTACAGCTGTTGTGACCTGAAACTAAAATATAGTTTAAATCTTCTTTGGGATATTAATAATTTAATAAGTTCTAGAGAATTTTATACTTATAATTTTGTAAAAATAGATATGATTTAAAACTTGAAGTATTGCATATAAGCAGTGAGCTTAATAAAATCAAATGTATATTATTCCTACTGATATTGTTAAATATCTTGGTTAAGCCAAGTTACAGTATCATCTCTAAATCATTAAATATGGTATAAAATCCACTTTTAATTTTTGGGAAAATAAACGTTCGTACAAATAAGAAATGAAATACTGCCTGTATTACAATATACAATCGAAAATTAAGTACAGAGGTCACATCATTACAATAGAAAAAAGAGGTTCAGTAATTAATTAATTCGTATATCAAAATCAAGAAAAATAAAAACCCTAAAAATAAAAAATTTGGATAACAGGCACTAACCAAATTCTCTCGAATTTCACTTCCACCACTCGCCAATACTTCCGAAGTCATTATAAAGTAATTATAATGATAATTCCAAAATGAAGCTAATTTGAATATTGATACAATTAATTATCACTTCAGGACCGTATAACAAGTAGGTAAGATTTTGGTTGAAAAAAGCAATGGCAACTTATAATTATCAAAAAATTTGGTTTCACAAACCTATTACCGATTTAAAACTAAATAATTAAAATATTAGAGTTTGCCTTGACAAGGAAGAGTAACGTTTTAAAAATGTGGAAAAATATTATAAATTTTAATTGTTTCAATTCAATTCTGTGTTGTCGCCTGTCGGTCGATCGTCTGTCAGTTTTCAACAGCTGTCAGTCGCAACTCGCAATTGTCTACGCATCGTGGTCACTGATGCTAGGTTCTGAGAATTTTTTCTAATGTGAGCAGTTTTAACACCATGGGGAGGCAATTTAATGTAAACCAACCAAAACTGTCACACGAAAAATATTTGTAAAAAATCATTTGATGAATCAAAACACGCGTAGCGTATTTCTCAAAATGAAGTTGCTGAAAGTTTTGTTTTATTTTTTATTTTTAATATTGTAAAAAAACATGTAGAGTAACAGAAATATAATACAACAGAAAATTTATGTGAATAACTGTAGTTTTTGCCAACTTGACATAGTAATTTTATATTAACATAGTTAATTAAAGAATGCTTTGGCGTTTCCAATTTTTCGGGGAAAATTAAGGAGAAATCCCTCACGGTCACCTGCTGGCTATGTTCGTTCTTAGTCTGGGGTATTTCTATTTTATTAATCCATCTGTGGTTTAAAGTTTACATTAAAATGTCACAAACAGAGGTAGTCTCTGTTTGTGACATTTTAGTATATTACCTCTAGGCTCTACAGTCTACTTGATCTGTGTCTATGACCAAAACAACTAGAGTACAGTTAAAAAAATATTAGAATAGTTAAACTTAAATTTTCGAGCCCTTTCACTTGATTTTTCTGTAATGTTTGTTTTTGTTTAATGTAAGAGAAGATGGGTGATCTTGAAAATGCAACTGAGGCTGCATCTCTTGCTGTTCAATTTGATCAAGCTAGTCAGCCTGATAAAGCAGTAGAATGTTATCGAACCGCTGCGAGGCTGCTAGACCGAATTTGTGCTCAAGTGCCACCTTCACAACAATCCGATATTCGGACTAAAGTTAAAGAGTATCTGGAAAGAGCGACATTCTTACAAGAACAGAAAAGTATGTTATGTTATAAAGTTTCAAATAGCTTTATCACTCTATATCTCTATCTATTCGTATATATACTTAGTTCTGACTCATCAAATTTCCAAGAAATACTTTGTTATATGTACATTGTGATATTTGTGAAGAAGGATATGTTTATTATAAGCATAAACCCATTTGTTATAAGATGTCCAGTGCAAAGCCTTAGTATAAATTTAAAAAGCTTCTAATTTGAAATTTTATCAGTGGATTCAATGTATAATGAAAACATCCAGTTTCGGGAATTCACAATATAGTAAAATGATAATTGTATTAACAAGCAAAATTGCCAGCAGCATATTTTGTAGTTCATTAAATTGTTTTTATCTAGTCATACCTTTTACCTATAGTAGTGTCTTGTACACCACACCTAAACAATTAAATATCAACTTAGAATATTATATCATGTCATGTCTATAAATTTATTCCTTTCAGATAAAGCACAACAAGCAGAAAGTGTTCGTGATTTAGAAAAATGCTACTTTTTAATGCAGCAAGCCCTTGATGCTGATGAAGCGAATTTAAAAGATCTAGCATTGCAATTGTACATGCAAGCTGTGGAATTAGCTGTCTCAGTTGTTAGTTTTTACTAAATTTGATCAAAAGTAAATTGTTAAGAGAGGCTTAGTGTATACTTGCCTGTATAGAATTTTGATGAAAAGTATCTTGCATTCTATCACAAGGTCTTATATGTATAAACATCAGTACAATAAATTAAAAAAAAAGAACTTAATTCCACATTTATTACATTAGTAAAAAGCAGATTTAAAGATGTCTAAATTTTTAATGCATTTATTTAATTCATTTCATTTAATTAATTCTTACCTATAATTCTGTTCTAAGACTCTGCATTTTGATACATTTAGAAAACAAGTGATCCTGATATTAATACCAAAATCAAGGGATTTGCAAAACAAGCTTTGGATAGAGCTGAAGAAATTAAAGGGATTAAAAAATTTACTTCTTTATCCATTAATGAAACCAAAAGACCAGGTAATATATTGTTTTATGTTCTATGTCAGTTCCAGTCACTTTATTTAAATACAATATTTTTAAATGGTATTTAGTATCTCCCGAATATTTTTGTTACTTTCCCCCTTTCTGCATATATTATTATACATTATTCCTTATTGTACATATAATTACAGTTGTATCCCCAAGCAAAGCTCAACTGCAAAGAGAACAGAGTGTGCATCTTAAAGTCAGTGGAAAGCAAATTTACAGTGAGGAGGAAAAAGAAGTATTACGTCAAACGTCTAATATAAATAACAATTGCTTTCTACCATTTATGGATGTTGATTTATCAGAGAAGTTCCAATATGCAATACCCTTTGAAGATCGTGCAAGTGAATTAAGGTTATCGTCAAAGCAGGCAAAAGAATTTGACACTTGGGTTCGGCCCCATGAAGTTTCTAGTGATCCAAAATTGATAGTGGGTGATCATGTTGACTGTTTTAGTATTAAGCAAACTGTAAGTATTCTTTTGTATTGATTATTATCTATAAACTTTGTTGGTATTATGGCTTGTTCAAGTTTTTACACAAAAGACACACATAGCGGCCACAAATATCAATTTTATAATTATAAAAAGTTAGAGAGGATAGTGTAACCCAATTTTGCCAAAATCTTTAGTAAATACCCCTCTGAAAGGCAAAATTAAAATAATTCTGTACTCTTAAATATGGCAATTGGGTTGGTAATTGTATATAATTATTTTATATTATAATGTTGAAATCCTAAAATTTAATATTTTTTTTAGATAGTCTCAGACTGTTCATTTGTAGCGTCGTTAGCAGTAAGTGCACTTTACGAAAAGAGATTTAAAAAGAAAATTATAACATCCATAATTTACCCAAAGAATAAAAATAAAGTACCAGTCTATAATCCATTTGGAAAATACATGGTTAAGTTGCATCTGAATGGCGTGCGAAGAAAGGTATGTTTAGTCTAATATCGTGATATACGAAATATAAACGCTAATAAATTAAATCCCTATCCGTATTTAGATACAGAAAATATAAAAAAAATATTTCCTAACAAAATTTTTTTATGTCATCTGACATTCCAATTTTCATTTATCTGTGGTTCTGCGCTGTTCGCGGCTTAGCGCCATTTATTTGTTTTGTTCCTAATCTCTTGATAAACTTTTTTATCATTTAACCAAGATATAACATCTCATCATCATCTCCGTCAGTAACAGTGTGTCATATGTGTATTGGTAATTTTTTAGTTTTTATTATTCTTATTTTAAATAATTTTATTTTTGTTTTGTTTGGTGTGTAGCTGTCATTCCAAGAGAGATTCAATACAAAGTATGAAAGTACCTACTGAAAATCAGTGTTGCTGGTACCAGCAGAGAGTTGGGCCCATTTTTGATTAAAGTGATAGTGTTTGTAAATATTTCTTTTTTATATGGGTGCTTTAATTACATAAATATGTTTTCTTTCTTTCTTTCTTTCTATGTGCAATGTGAAATATGAAATTACAGAAGCAAGACACCAAAAAATTTAAAATTTTGTTTCAAAGGATGACCAATGACCATATTAATTACTTAATAAATATAAAATTTCAGATTATTATAGACGATCGCCTCCCTTACAGTAAATATGGAAGAATCCTATGTTCATACTCAAGTAACAAGAATGAATTTTGGGTATCAATGCTTGAGAAGGCTTATATGAAAGTTATGGGCGGGTATGATTTTCCTGGATCAAATAGTGTACGTTTTTTTAAGGAATATTATAGAAAAAAATAAAATACTGCACTACACAAATTTATCAAAATGAATGCTTGTTCTCGTATTGTGAAAAGGGTTACACACAATTAATAATTAATATGTATAAATCAACGCAGGTACAGAAGACAGTTCTCCTACTTGTCTATTAAAAAAAGATCGCGAAACACAGCTTGAGTGTGCAGCGCCACTGTATATTTAACAACAATAAACAAGACTAATAGTACAAGCATACAATGTACAAAAGCGTACAATGGCTACAGATTTTAAGAGATATATTAATTTATTTATGTATCATGCCTACATCATTATAGTGTTTTATATGATTCTATTTTCATATAATCAAAAGGGAGTGAAAATTAAAATCTTTGCATAAGTAAAAAGCTTTGCATGTTTAATTTTGTTTGTATTTTTCTCTAGAACATAGACCTCCATGCCTTAACCGGCTGGATACCCGAACGGTGTGCTATACGCAACAGTGAGGCAGATTTCAACGCGGAGGCGTTGTATGAAAAACTGCGCACGCGTCTAGAGTGCGGTGACGTGCTAGTGACAGTCGCAACCGGATCTCTAGACGACGCGGAAGCGGAACGCACAGGCCTGGTTGCTACGCACGCGTACGCAGTACTGGACGTACGACTTGTTAATGTAAGTCCATTAATATTTTTTGTGATCGTCTGTGTATTAATGTTATCTATCATTCAAATCTAAATGTCATTTATTTATACAGTTATTAGTTAACACAATGTATACTTACGATAATAAAATACTTCTAAATTTATATCCACTGCCAGTTCAAAGAACGGATGAGAAGGGCAAGAAAATCTCTTTTATTACAAGGGAATACAGTTTTTTAAAAAGTCATTTAATATTTTAATTAAATACTCATAAACTAGGTTGGAATGGGCTAAAAGTTAGATTTTGATCTCGATGAACGTAGTTTTGCTTCTAAGGGATTATGACGGATTAATTCTTTCTCAGAGCCTCATTTTTCTCTATATGTAATAATAATAAGAAAAATCGGGAAATAAAGTAGCAAGCTTTTGCAACTTTCAAACCTTAAGTCATATTTATCAGTATTTCCTTGTCCAGGGTATTCAACTCTTAAAACTAAAAAATCCCTGGTCACATCTTCGGTGGAGAGGGAACTATAGTGAGCTGGATACAGCCCACTGGACACCAAGTCTTAAGGCCCAATTGAACTATGACCCGGACAGTGCAGCTCAGTACGACAATGGCGTGTTTTGGATAGACTATGCTAGTATACTGAAGTTTTTCGATGTTTTTTATTTGAATTGGAACCCAGAGCTGTTTCAATACACGTATTGTATACATCAGTGAGTAAACTTTTTGTATTATATTAAAAATTCACAAATTGTTGTTTAAGCTTATTCAGATTATTCCTAAAAATATGTATTTAAGATTTAAGGAAAAAAAATTATATGTTTGATCATTTTTATTTCGTATTCAAGTAGCTGATCGAGGCCGTTTTTACATTTGAGACATGTCGGTTTCTTCTCGATGTTTTCCTTCGCCGTACTAGTGAGTGTTAGATGCGCAAAAAGGTAGAAATTCCATTGGTGCAAAGCCGGGGATCGAACCTACGACCTCAGCGACTCCATCGCACGCGGAAGTAAAAACATATCATTTTACTGGCCAACTGCCTTAAAATGACATGTTTTACCTAAAAAACTATCACATTTTTATTTGGTACAATTACAATTGGACGACAGTTGCCTTTACAAATAAATTGTTACTTAACCTAGGCGTACAAATAGGGATGCCTTAGTTAATGGTTTAATTATGTAAAATTTAAATTGTGTACGTAGTTTTTGTATGAAGTAATTAAAGAATTATCATAAATAACCCTAATATGGTTTATAGGAAATGGGATGCGGGCAATGGTCCCGTTAGAGATGCATACAATGTAGGCGAGAATCCACAATTTTCTCTTCACGTACAAGGACGTGGCGCGGTATGGCTGCTACTAACACGACATATCACCCAAATCGAAGACTTTAGTAACAATAAGGAGTATATCACCCTACTCGTGTATAAAAATGGTCAGCGGGTGTACTATCCATGTAAGTTATTTTTATTTTATTTATTTATTGTATAAGTCAAAGTCAAAATAATTTATTCATATAGGTAACACAGTGTACTCTTATGAACGTCAAAAAGCAATATATATATATATATATATATATATATATATATATATATGAAATGCTGCTGATGTTACATTTAGTGCCAGTTCTCAAATCAAGGGCGTAGAACGGCAGAGAAGAACTGGCAATAAACTCTCCGCCACTCTTTTTAATCGGCTAGTTTTTTATTTTATACAACGTTTGTAAGGAGCTGCATCCATTACACCATGTTCCACATCATCAGTATCATATTAGAATTCAAGTACGACGAGTCACCGCAAGTAGCACCCGTTCACGAGCATGACGCATGGCCAGCCATCGGCCCCCTTGCCATATTTTAGGCAGAGAGACAACCCGACGCATGGACGCATGAAGATGACGTCTGATTTGCATAGTTTTTTGTTATGCATAATTTATTATTGTTTGATTTATGTAATATTTTTAAATTTAAATTTAATATTGTTTCTTGTTATATTTACTTATACTGCTAAAAGTAAAACCAAACGTTTTTTTGTATCCAATTACCGGTTAATATCTAACAGATCGAAAACAAACGGAAACGTAGTAAAAATAGGCATTTTTTTCAGACGATCCGCCGCCCTACATTGACGGTATACGTATCAACAGCCCTCACTATCTCTGCAAGATAATAACCACAGACACAAATACGGACAGATTCACACTAGTCGTATCACAGTATGAGAAAACGCGTACGATCTTTTATACGCTACGAGCGTACGCGACCTGTCCATTCTCGATGAGCAAGATTGAACCTTATCCTTATAAGAAAACGGTAAGTTATTGTTCATGTTCCTTTTACAGCACCTAATTAAATTAAATATTTTTACCTAATTTTATAATTTAATTAGATTAAAAAAGCCGTGATTAATGTTACGTAAGGAAAATAATATTTCAATAATCAGAATAAGACAAAACAAATTTATAACATTTTTTTTCATACTTAAATCGCAATGGCTAAACGTTTGAAATAAACCTCTTCATAAATAAAGTGTTGCTGCTTGTTTTAATGAAAGTACTCTTTCTTCTCTTTTCATCCCAGTGTAAAAACAATTGGACAGAAAGAAACGTATATATTAAACTGATTTAGATAGATGGAAATATTAATTCGCACTTGGACATATCTAAATATTACTTCTTCCTACTAAAACTTGTAATAATAAAAAAAATATTCTTTTCAGATAAGGGGAGAATGGTCGGGTCGCACTGCCGGAGGTTGTGAAAACCACCCAAGCACATACCCAAATAACCCCAAATTCATAGTAACAATACCGGAGTCACGGGTGCCTTGCAATCTCGTAGCGGAACTGAAGGGTCCCAAGCAGTATCAGATGGGGGTGGATGCTCGAGTGGAGTCATTGGAAGATCCCAGTGTAACGGCTCCGTTTTTAAAAGAGTCTTCAGGAGCATTTAGGTTAGTTTTTTTTAATATTTTAGTAATATGGTTTTTATTTGTGACATTGCAGGACACGAAATAACACTTACAATAGAACAGTCCTTTTAATAATAGTTTATTGATAGATGAGTTCTGTATATCTGTGCCATGGTCTATAATTAAAAAATACAAATAACGCGTCTTGCTACGGAGTATAGTATATGTAGTTGTATGTGTTTGATCTTAAAAGTAACTTAGCGAGTCAGCTTATGAAGGTTGAACTAGGGCCCGTATTTTGGAACGTCAATCAAACTTAAATCTAGTTTCAAGAGCTGTAAAGTCATTTTTTTCTGTATGACGATGGACATATTTGACAGCGCTCAAGACGAGATTGTGACTTGAGATACGAATTATAATATGGACCTAAGGGCTTACATTGGCTACTCGTTTTATAAAATTATTTTTTACTCAATATCGCACTTTAAATTATTTATTTAGATTTAAAATCAGGTTGTAAGCAAATTGTATTAAATATTTCTTCAATGTACAAATAATAAAACTATTTTGATTTTGCCACTCATTCTACAGGTCAGGTTTCGTAGTTCTGCAGCTTCGCAATCTCCCCGCCGGTCGGTATATCCTAACTGCCTCAACTTTCTATCCGGGTGAAGAAGGTCCTTTTTTCCTTGAGCTCAAGTCCACGTGCGAGGTTTCCTGCGAACAGCGACACTAGCAGGGCTACAGGAAAGAAAATCTTTGCCTTTTGAGGGGATTTACGAATGCAGAAATCTTTTGAAAATTTCTGAAGAAGTTTCCTCCTTGACAAAGACCCTGAAGAACTGAAAATACTTGAATATGCACTTCAACAGATTTGAACATCTAATGATCACATTTGAATAATTATATGAATTTAAAAAGATAATAAGTATTTTAAGTGTGTGACATCTTGTAATATGTCCCTAAAACAATAAAGAGAAACAAATAAAAATATTTTACTTCAAATTTCATTACTGGAAAAAAAGAGTCAAGACGGGAGTCATCACGTTTTACATTTTCTACATCCGCAAATCTATAGTTCGCATTCGATTCTTAAAATTTTAATTTTTTAACGGAAAATTAAAACGAGTATTATTACTTCATCAGAACGTATTTCTTTCATGGCTGTGTATGTGTTTCTGGCAATGATGTAACTGATTATTATGTGGTATTAAAACGGATGAGCCTGGTGGTGTTAAAACCGGTGTTCGATTATTTTCGTGACTGATGAACCGCTTAAAAATTATTTTATTAGCTTAATGACACCTATTTGATTGAATCTCTGGTGTATTTTAGAGGATTAGAATATTTATACGCACATTAAAGCAAATATTTAACATTTATAATTACTAATTGGTGCTACATTGCTTCCTTGTGTTAGAGGCTTCGTGGTTAATCTTAAACAACTTACATTAATGCATAAGAAACCAGATTAAAATATGATTTACAGAAATTGATATAAGTTATTTTAGATTAGCCGAAATTGCACTGTGATACTGTCTAGATATAAAGTATAGATTCTCTAATAAATGTAAGATTATAATCAACAATTGTAGCAGAATTATATTTTATCAAGTTAATAAATATTATGAAAAATATTTTTCCTTTATTTTAAACAACCACGTATATATGCGAGTAATTCGCAGAAACCAGAACTAACAATTATAGCTGTTGCCTCGTTACACTGTAATTTAAATAGAATTATTATAACCTCATTGATTATGGTTTTGTAAAGAATAAACAACATCAAAAAGTCTAGGGAATACTTACGCTAACCTATTTACTTCTCATTGCCGATGCCCAGGCTCATGCTACTTAAAGCGCAATAGACCAGAAATCAAGACTTAGCTACACAATTATCATCCTTTTTTTTATCAAAGCATAATAATATTATTGTAAAATTTAAAAATATTACATTGTTGTAAGGTTTTGAATCAAATTTTTATATAGGCGTTTTATTTTTAAAAGGTTACGTTTTTCGAGTTGTTCAATTCTTAATGTTCCTAAAAATCAATTGCAAAGTAATACCAGTTGTATTTACATTCACAAGATATTAAATATAGGTTATTCTTAAAAAAAAACAATCTTATTATGCGTAAATATATTAAAGTATCAAATTAGTATTAGCAAAAGTAGTATCTATTTAAGACTTGCTTTGTGAAGCTCACAAGAACGAAAATCTATTCTCAGTCAGTGTTCACAACCGTACGATAATTATCGTACATGTGCGATAATCTCAACTACGTACGCATATTGTACGATAATTTCCATTCTGATAAAAAATTTGATGATTACACAGATAGCCCAATAACAATTACAGTTTTTAGTGTCAGTGCCATAATATATGCCTGTGATTGCCTAAATATATTCAGTTAAACTTTTAAAAATATGCTTGTTTTCATGTGTCTCTATCCTTCCTTTAACATTATTTTGTTCTATAAATTTGAAATGTTGGCGCCTTAATCACACTCGAAGTGGACGAGGGCCCAGCTCGGGTCTGTGCCATTCGAACATTTAAATTTAATTATTGAAGTGAAACTTCTTTATCGGGGTTGGAAAAAAATTTAGTGTAACATTTTTGCGTTACGCGTCACATTTTTCCATGTTGCTTTTTGAAGTCAAACTTCTTTATCGGCGTTAAAATATGACATATAGTATGTTTTTGACTTTGAAGTTTGACAACGGATTACATTTTCGACTTGAAATTTGCTAATCGCAATTTGCAGCAATTAATTTGTAAATTGTATGCTAGGCAGTGTATCAAAATTTACTGTGTTTAAAGAAATAGTTTCGGACCTCTAAACTTAAAACAAACCAATTATGGCTCTGCGTACAACAAAGGTTTATATAAGTTTCACTTCTTACGTGTGTACACCTAGTACACGCACACATTTTTTTAATTATTTTTTTCAATTTAAAAAACACAAGTTTACAAGATTTATACTATAAATCGTTTGCAACATTTTATTTTCACGTTTCATATGATTTTTTAAAGTATTTTTAGCCATTTTCCTGACTGTACGATAATTTTACGGCTCTGGTACGATAACTGCCTGGCTTCAGGTTTTGAATACTGTTCTCAGTAGACGCGCACTTCATTTTTTTGCTTGCAGTGGATGGGTATGCTAAACATCAGAGTACGTCGTATATTTATTTAAAATTAAAATTGTAGAACAACAACAGAACAGCTCCAATTGTGTTAATGCATTGCTTTAAAGTTAAAAAAATAGAATATAAATATTTGCGTAAATAAACCCTGATTTTTGTTCCCGGGCGGGAAGTAGTTATAAAATGGCAGACCAAATACTTTGTTGGCTTATTTAAATAAACAACTCAAAAACTTCTAAAGAGATTAAAACTTCTGCACCTACATTGTGATTTCTTTCAAACGAAACCACAATTTTCAAACAACGCCACTCGATGTAACCGCAGAATTCAAATATCAGCCACATTTACGGAAAGCTAGTTTTTAGTACACTTTGTGCCATCAAAACTACTACTATTGGCAAATGTGATTAGCCAGACGTATGAACAAACAAAGGCAAATTCGCATTGCGACACCAATAGATACGAGAGCTTTTTAAAAAAACTAATTACAGGTAGCATTTATCCCGGAAGAAATAAGATTAATATAAAAATATACAAAATTATATAATTTTTTAAAAGTGCTTACAATAAATTGTAACTTGAATGAAAAAGTGGTCGCTCTGACTAGGTTTTTATTATTTTATAGTACAACTAAAACGGGCAGAAGGCTCACCTGATGTTTAGTGATATGGACACCCATGGACACTCTCATGACATACGTATATCCTTGGTGGGTTATAACCCTAATACATCAATGTGAGGAAAGCGATCAGATTAGTTATTTTTTTACGTAATCACCAGTTTTACGAAAAATCGTTCCCTCAACGCGGAATACAAACGATGTACAATATTTATGAAGAGTTATGACGTTTTCCGTGTGTTTGTTTTGTCACTAGTTTTTGCAACATCTACCAATTGAACATTATTATTTCTTGTCATTTAAAGAAATTTTAAATAGCTTATAAACTGAATATTTTAAACTCTCATAATCTCTCCATTAGGCACGCCATAGACACATTTATACGTCTGTTTCATTGACTTTTAAAGGTGCGTATCCATTAGAGCAGCCTCAGGCCGAGCAGCCTCGACTTGAAGCAAATCGAGGCTGCTCACTCCGAGGCATAGGCTCGAGGCACGTTGCGGGTCAAGGTGAGGCATGTCGCCTCGCCTAGATCCGAAACTAGTGTAAAGTAAGAACGCGATGACACCAGACGCGCGTAGAGTAGCCGCTGCTTTAATAGCCATTAACATTATTAAAAAAAAGAGAATACAACAAAAAACTATACAAAAGAGGAAGCATCGATGGTGGATAAAAGAGTTATATCGCAATAGAATTCAGCATGGATGTGACCAATTGCTATTGGACATAACGTTTGAAGATGGTGATAGCTTTAAAAAATTTATACGCATGAGCACTGGTGACTTTAAGTTGCTACTATCAATGATTACACCTTTGATAGAAAAAAAAAGATACGAACTTTCGTTGTGCTATTTCAGCAAGGGAAAGACTAGTTGTAACACTGCGATATTTAGCAACTGGCGACTCATATACTAGTCTACAATATCTGTTTAGAATATCAAAGCAGTTAATTTCTAAAATTATACCACAAACTACTGAAGCAATAATCGAAGTGCTAAAGGACTATGTTAAGGTAAGTAAAACGCTCTGAAATTAAATTGATTAATGGAACTCGTATAATTTTATTAATTTAACTGCAGTTTCGTTGTCCATTGCGACCTGAGGCGACACGCTCGTCTCCACCAAGTGCACGGCTCGGACTGAGGCTTCTTTGAGCGCGCCAAAAAAACCGACAAAATATGGCTCGGCTCGCGGCAACGAATTTGCCTCATGGCGCGGCGTGCCTCAAGTTGAGGCAGCGTCTCCACTTGTGCGGCCTCGGATCGAGCGGCTGCCTCGCCCCGAGTCTGCCTCAAATGGATACGCACCTTAAGACAAATGTAAGTGCTTAACAACCGGAAACGTTATCACCAGGTGCCAAAACTATTGCTTCACCGCCTCAAAAACCAAAGCGTTTAACCGCGGAATCCTAAATCCATGTCTTGGCTAGTGAAATTAAATGAATAGATATAGTACTATAATATATAGCCTTTCTTGATAATTAATACTGAGAAGTTATGTGATCCCTTTGACTTGATCAAACAGGCAGCTATGAACTATGAATTGTAAATGGATATTTTCCGCATCAAGGCTTGTTTCGGGTATCTCAACAAACTCCTGGTATTTGTTTATAGTTAAATAGTTTATACATAAGTATTTAATTGTTGTTTGTTAATAGCATATTAAAGCGTTATATTCACCATACAAATAATATGAAAAGAAAATCCTTTAGCAAATTGGCAATAATTTTATATGAAAACAGAGATAGAAGAATCAGCGGACCCGACAGACGTTGTCCTGCTATGATATTTCAAGCGAATAGGATATTAAACAAATTTGTGAATCCAAACCATCCAGGGCGATAAGGATAAACGCATACAAAAAATTCATTCGGTCCAGCCGTTTAATCGGAGTTCAGTGACATACACTCGTACAGTAGAATTATATATTATATAATCATATAATATCTTGATTGATATCGCGTTAGGTCG